GACTGGGGGAAGGGACCTTCTCATCCAAAGGTCTGTCCAGCCCCGCTGCTGGTCAACTCTCAGCCAAGAGCAGCCCCTCAGATGCTCTGCCCTAGGTAAAAAGACTCCAAGACGTTTTGGAGATCTGTCCTTTCACCCACTGCCCCTCAAACAGCCACGAGGCCAATCAGAGTGAGAACGCTGGGCTTAGATGCACGCACCAACAGAATCTGGAAGAAGGGGCGGTGGGAAGGGGCAGTGGGCCAGACGGTGCTGCAGAGAAGAGCAGGGAACTAAAATGGATTTAGTACTTACTGCCCATTTCCATGCAGGCTGTAGGGTTGAGGTTCAACTCCTGCTTGCATCCCTTACTAGCTTTGGGGCCTCAGGCAAGTCATGGAAGCACTCTGTGCCTCAGTTTCCTCATCCATAAACTGGATAGAGTATTTGCACCTCCAAAAGTTATTGTGAGATCAACTCTGCAGAGCGCACTAGCAGTACTGTGCCTGGCACCCAGCAAGGGCTCAGAACAGCTGTGGCCTCAGGAGCTGTTGCCACCCTCAGGGTACCACGTCCTTGCTCCCTGACCTCCTGTCCAGTGGGAGGCCTCACTTCCCTTCCAGCCCCTCCAGCAGGAGCCTGATAGCTCTGGCCTCTCTCCCTCCCACTTTTAACCAATCTCTGGGCTCTGTTTGCTCCGCTTCCTGTTTCTACACAACCATCCTGAGCACAGCTTCTTTCTGCCCTGCATTCAGGGCCCCGGACCCATCCACAACAGGGATCCCAGCTCTGTTGCCTCTTATGTCACACTCATGCCTCAAAAGCAAATCGTCCATTAGAGGTGAAAGGTTAAGATCTTTACCATGTAAAGAATATCTGCATATCGGGAAGAGAAAGCAGGGATCCCCATACAAGGAGGCAGTTTCCACAGGAAAAACTGCAAATGGCCAGCAGGCATGGGGAGAAGCTCAAGATGACCAGTAATGAAAAGAAGTAATTTCAAATGGAAATACCTGCAGGTTTTACCTGCATGCTGAAAATATAATCCATAAAAGCTACAGATATTTGTGAGATATATGCATCTATATCTCACATATATCTACCTTATATATATACAAATATATCTTACATATAAGGGTAAAACAACAGAGATATGAATAGACAGTGGAGAGATAGATAGATAAATGATATAGCTGGAAGGATTCTACCAAAATATCACACTAACAACTCTGGTTATATCTGGCTATGTGATTAGGGATGACTTATGCTCTTTACTGTGATTTTCTATAATTTCCAAATTTTCCCCAATAAGCATGCATTTCATGTAATCTCTCTCTCTCCTTTCTCCCTCTTTCCCTGCAGTCCTTCCTCTTCCTCTCTCTCTTCTTTCTCTCTCTCCCTTCCCTCCTTCTCTCTCTCCCTCCCTCCTTTCCTCTCTCCCTCCCTCCTTCCCTCTGTCTCTTGTGCACATTGCCCGTGGGGGACAAACTCATGATACTCCTGGCTCTCCATGGCCTGCTTGCTTGTCCGCCTCCATCTCCTGCCTTTCTCTCCGTGCGTTATCTTCTCATTAAAACCAAACTCCTGCCAGTCTCTAAACACAGTGGACTGCTTCACTTCCGTACCTGGCTCAGCCCCACCTGTCCTTCAAAGTGGCTGGAACCTGGCCTGCTCTGGGAAGGCTTTCAGGGCCCCAACCAAAGGCCCCGCCCTTGCCAGGTTAATGGGCCCTTGGGCTCCTGCAGCACCCCGACCCTCCTTCCTCCATGGCGCCCCCAGGCCCACTGCCCCATTCTGCTGCTTACTTTGATCCGCCCTGCCAGTTTACGAACTTTTCTGGGCATCTTTGTGTCCCCTGAGCTTACAGCACTTGCCACCAAACCAAGTGCTTAGGATATACTTGGGGAACTGAAATCAACTTGAATTTTGGCATTTTTGACAGGTGAGTATGTAGTATTATTCTCATTTTAGAGATGACGAAAACCAACTCAGTATCACATTGGTAGGTGGCAAAGCTTAGATCTAAACAAGGCCATTCAGTGGGAATTGGGGGTGGTCTAACCTTAACCCTTAGAGTCAGGCTCGCAGGCTTTCTCCACTGATGCAAACTTAATACGGAACAAAATGTACTTCCGGAAGCAATAGGGAGGGAAGGAAGGGGAGGCTGTATGATAACTGCAAGAACTAATACATCATTGACATTTCATGTGTCAGAAATGGTGTAAGCACTTGACATACCTCGGTTCCCATTAAAAAAAAAAACCTTATAAGAAAGGCAGCATCATTACCTCCATTTAGAAGTAAAAAAAAAAAAAAAACTGAGTCACAGACAAGTTCAGTCGCTTGCCCAGATTGCAAAATTGGGATTTGGACCCCACCAGGCCAGCTCACAGCCAGCACTTGGAGGCTGAGCTGTGCTGCCTGGTAGCAGGTGAGGTATAGTTGTGCACTGCAGGCTGTGCGGATGGAGGCATTTGTTCTTCAGGATGAGTTGCTGGCCCACTGAGGCAGGAGATACCCACCACTGGGGAACAGACTGAGACTGGCATGTTCTCAGACCAGAGCTGAAGCCTACTACATGGGTGGCATCATCCATGAGAGAAGGGTACCTGCCCAAACCCATACCTCCTCACAGATGGGTCACTGGATCAGGAAGCAGGTGCATCTGAGGGCAGGCAAGAGGCTGGGTGAGAAACACGTAGATGAATCGAGGGAGGGGAGGATCAAGCAACCTGCCTGGGTCCCCACTGTATGTAAGGCACAAAACCTACTTAGCCCATTTAATCCTCACCTCTTCACTGTATCACAAGGGAACTGATGCTCAAAGAGGTAAGCTAACCTGTGCCACAGCACACAGCTGGTAGCTGGTACAGCTGGGATTCACACTCAAATGTGCCTCAGGCTTCCAAAGAAGAGGGATTTGTCAGACACCCCGGACTGTACCAGAATCCGGATTTCCAGGCTTATCTGTTTCATCCTACCTCTCCCAGACCCTGGTCATAGCTCTGATGGGGATGGTAGGCTGTGGGGAGTGGCAGTGAGAATAGCAATGGCCTGGCAGATGGGAGGTGCCAACCCCTGCCACTCTGAACCACCCCTGAATCTCAGCTTTCTTATCTGTAAAATGGGAGTGCTGGATTTGAGGTACTGTCTTCAGGTACTTTTTGAGAATAATATCCTGAACTCCACTGTTACTTGTACTACCCCCTTTCTGTGAAAACAGAACGACACAAGTGGGCATCTCCATGCCTGGCTGCAGCAAGTGGATGAGCTCAGTGGGCAGGCTCACCCATGTTGCAGCAGTGACCCTGCTGGCTTCGAGGACTGAGTTAACAGAGATGCGAGGTCAAGTCTAAACCCACAAGAATACACAATACTTAGCACAATTCTTTGTGCTCCCAGGGGAATCCCATACATCAACACTTAATCTGGCCAGTGCTGGGCTCTCAACTTACACATATGACCTCATTTCATCTTTCCTTCAGCCCCACAGGGGAGATGCTGGCAAGCCTTATCCATTTTATCGATGAATACACTCAAGTCCACATAGCTTTAGTGATTTACCCAAAGTCATATTCATGCCAGATGATTCTTAAATGGCTTAACAATGTTCCTCCAGAAATGGACCCCACATGGTGCAAGAAAGTTATGAGTGAGGATGGAGTTAGATCCAATTGGCCTGGAGCCCAGGGCCACTGACCTGGTTAGTCTGCTAAGTGGAGGAGGAGGGCATGGGGCCTCTTTGTGCCAGGGGCTCCCCAGTTCATGGTTATGGGAGGTCACAGATGTTACCTTGAGTCACGCAGCCAGTGATAAATCTGACCCCAGGCTGTCTAGCCCCACAGCCGGGCTTGTTTCCCTCTCCCTCAGGGGGGAGCCTGTAGACTGCAGATTTTTCTCCTGTTGTATGGCCTCTTCCTCTACAGAGCTGCAGGGGACCCTCACCCACATTTTCTGGAACAGTATTCTGCAACCAGGAGTAACTGCCATGACAACCAGGGTCTTCTCACCACCCCTGCAGCCCAGGTGGCACCTCCTCTCCACCCAGGGCCTGCAAAGGTTGGCAGGCTGATGAGGCAGGAGCATGAAAGCGCTCTCAGAGCAGGGTAGCCTGGGCCTCTGCAAGTGCCCTCTGCTTAGCTCCATCCAAGGGGCGGGGAAAGTGGAAAGATGCGACAGAGACTGGAGATAAGCAGAGTGTTCCCACTGACTAAGCCACCGGAGCCTTTCTTAAACCCCTGCGGTCTGAACGCTTCATACCAGTGCGTGGAAGTCCTCAGTCCCAGACAGCCAAGGCCCTTCTCAGTCCTCTCTGCTTCCGTGGACACGGGAGCCATGACTGCCACCAGCCAGAGGCTGCTGCTTCTTGACAGGGCCCAGTGTCTGGAACTTCTGTCAGCACTGCCTATGTTCACCGCCCGTGCCTTCCTCATTTGTAAAGTGCCTACATAATTGACCCTATGACAGCGATACTCCCCTGGCCCATGTACTCTTTGCCACACTGTGCTTAGAGCCTTGTGTAGGGGAAGTCTGTGTCCAGCAATGTGGGAGCACCCCAGGGGCAGGACTTTGTGCCACCCTGTGCCACTCTGGAGGTTCAGGGTCTGGCATGGAGAGATCGGTAAATTATTAGTGAAAGAATGAATGCACCACTCACCCGTTGGCCAGACTGAAGAGGAAAAGTAGAGGTGCACGCGTGGGGAGACAGAAAAGTGAGGAAGGGGGAGAATGAGGAGAAAGGAGAGAATGAGGAGAAGGGGTCCCTAGGGCACCCTCTACTTACCCAGCCTGGCCCTGAAGCTGCGGACCGTGTTGCCCCCTCCTGGTCTCGCGCCCTGCCGGCTGTACTTCTCATAGAGCCGGTGCATGTGGACAGCAACCATGTCCTGGGCGCCGGGGCCCAGCGTGGCAGACGCGTCCCCAGGGAGCCGCTGGGGATCCCTGTCCCCCTGCAGGCCGTCGGCGGCAGCGGGCGGTGCGGACCAGGCGCGGGCCATGTGGCTACCGCCGGCGTCCCGGAGTAGCAGCAGAAGCAGCGGCAGCAGCGGCAGCAGTTGGGGCCCGGGTCCCCGGCTGGTCCGAGCGGGGTCACGAGCCATGGCGCGGTGAGGGCGGCGAAGGGCGAAGTCTAGGAGGAGGAGGGCGAGCGCGGGCGCAACGGAGGCTGCGGACGGACCTCGCGGCCGGAGGGCGCGCAGGGAGCCCGGGCAGCAGGGCGCTGGGTACCGAGGTCCACCTGGGGCGAGGGGCTTAGCAGGGGTGGCAGCGGGCGCGGGGTCTGTGGGTCCAGGCGGCCCGAGCCCCCAGCCAGCAGTCACTGCCGTCCCGAGCAGCGCAGAGCCGAACCGAGCCCGAGCCGGCGCGCTGCCTCGGCGCACTCGCGCCACGAAACTTTGCAACCCACAGAGCTCCCGGCTCGGCGGGTTCGAGGGGCGGGGCGGGGCGGCCGGCAGCGCCCTCGGGGGGACCCGGCTGCACGCCCCGGACCTCTGGGGCTGCTGGCGAGAGGGCCGTCCCCGGCCCAGCTGCCGTGTGCTTGCGCCCGTGTGTGGTGGCGTGCGCGCGCCGGGGAGTGCGCTCGCGAGTGTGGGGGGCGTGGGCGTGGGCGAGCGCGCTCCCCGCTCCCCTGCCGAGAGCCCGAGACCCAGCCCCTGAGGCCGGCTCCTGTGTGTCGGCGCCGCAGCCTGGCCTGGCCGCGAGGGGGGCTGGGCGGCATTTGGATGGGGGCCTGCCTGCTGGGTTGCCCCTGCAAAGGCATGCGATGGCTATGTGGTTGCAAGATGACAGCTCCCCTGTGATGACCAGAGAAGGGATGTGTGTGTGCCCAGTTGCCTCTGAGCCAGCGTGTGTCCAAAATGCGAGTGTGAGGAGCAGGGATTCCCTCTGGGCTGACTCCGAAAAGAGAAGCCCTCACCCCAAAGCTCATGGCGTCCAAGGCAAATGGAACAAGATGCTGATTAAAATTCAGAATTAGCTGATTAACCGTCGCCTTATTTGGCAACAGTAATTCCAGTTGTTGAAGGAAAACATCAAAAGGTCCATATTAATCTTTGGACATGTAGCCTTCAGGATTGTAGGGGTAAGACATGCTTTCAATTTGCCTTTCAAAATATGTCCAAAGCATCAGAACAGGAGGAGAGAAAGCAATGGCTTTCCCAAGAAGGCTTCCCAATGAAGTGAGGGTGTAGTGAGTCCCTGGCCCCTGCCCCTCAGCTTAACCCTGGGGCAGAAGGTCCTGAACTTTATCTTGCCTCTAGCAGGATTTCTTCCCCATGGATAGAATTCAAGGGCTCCTATGAACTTGATGGGGAAAAAAATACATCTTTATTTTCATTAACTCTAGCTGAAACTTACCATTAACTAATATTATAAATGCAAGCAACCAACCACAGTGGTATTAGTGACTTTGTCACCGATAGGCACCATCCACAGATATTTTCACATCGTGTGAGAGTGGTTGCAGATTTATCACAGTATCATGTTTGCTCAGTACTACTTCAGTTAGGTCTATTGCTAGTTAGTTAAGTACTTAACAAAAAGGACATAGTTACTATGTTGCAAAATTGTTTTAAAATATTTTTGATAACTATATTCTAATGTAATTGTCTTCCTCTATAACTCTGCATATTTCATTTTATGTGTTTAAAAACATTATTTTAAGAAAGGGACCACAAGCTTCTCCAGACTTAGAAAGGGGCTCAAGACCCACCTAAAAAGTTTAAGGACCTTTGGGAGGGAAGAAAAGGGCCACTTCAAGCCCATGTTCTTCCAGAAAGCTCCCAGATGCCTACAATCCATGCTACATTTCAAAGGACTATTTGCAAACTTGTGAACACGCTGTTCCCTTTACTTGGTAACTTTGGGCTCTGTGAGCCAAAATGGTTACTTTTCTTGGAGGGCTCACAATGCAATAATTGAAAAATTGCTGGAAAAAGCTTGTGTTGGTGTGTAAAACACAACCCATTTGTAATTTTTAAAAATCTTGCAGTGTCAAATTAGAGGCCATCCTATTAAGAGCTTCTGAACCTCAGACCTGTAGCTTTTGGAAAACCAGAGAGAAGCATTTTATTTCTTTTGAAAATTAGATCACAGTGTGTTCAGCTTCCCATTAGGATAGCTCCCATTTGTTCTGAACCAGTTTTCCAAAATGGTTTGTCTGGAGGTGAGATGATCGAGTCTCAGCCTGGGACATAGTGAAGCACTCCTTATAAATGATCCGGACCATCCTTCAGTGATCCCTTCCCCCACTCCCACCCCTGTTCCCCTCCTTCTCCAGGTGCCCCTCATTTCCCCTCTGTCCCCCTCTCCCCTTCTCCCCCAGAATGCCTCTGACCTGCACCGGCTGGGGGTAACCTCTGCTCATGGGTAGTTTTGTCTTTGCTGGGGCCATACACAATCGAGGCCTGTGAAAAGGAGGGTGAGTCCACAGGAGGCCCTCACAAGCTGGGCTATTCGGAATCCGCGTCCATTAAAGCCTTCTCGCTCTCCTTAACTCATTCCCGCTCCATTCAAGCCAGCTTGAGGGTCAGGCTTTAGCCGGCACTAAAACCTGTAGGGTACAGATTCTCTGACATTGTTGGGAAAGAATTAAGGCATCAGCCAGGGACGGCTAATATTTCTTGCCTCATTTTATTGCTGAACAGCGGGACTGTAAAGTCTTGAACACGAGCACTGTGGCCCCCTTTCATGTAGCCGAGATGATGGGATAAAAATGTGTTTGGTGAAGCAATTCAGATTACCACTGGGTCACATCCTTGCTGACTCTCAGCACGGCCCTTGAAACAGCATCGCTAAGACAAGAAACAATCTCTGTGCAATTTCAGCTCATGCAGAACAGTTTTTCTAGTGTAGAAATGAGGCTAATTGTGGAGCTTGCCCACGAGAGTGTTTTGTTTTTTAATAGCTCAGGCCGCAGCTCAAAATAAGAGTTGAGATGGCAGATTGTGGAGACAAGTACTCAGAGCTGTGATTTCTGACAGCTTCCTACAAAATTATCCTGGTCCTAGGAATTCCGTACATTTCAGTTACCCAGGGAGGTCTTGAACTTGCCGATTGGAGTGGAGAGTGTTCTCTCCAGGGAGAGGAGAGGTAGTTTGGGGACCCTCAGTCCTCTAGGCCTCCTTGCCATAGACTCCAGGGTAGCAGGGTTTTCTTCAGCTCAGAAAGTCATGAGCAAGGAGTGAAGAGACTCCATAGTTGTGAAGCTCTGCACCCAAGTAAGAAAGTAAAGCAAACCCTGGGTAGTTTTCAAAAGCAAGCTCATTTGGCCTTATCAAGAAACTCTCCCCAAATAAATGTTCCCTAGAGATTGTTTCATGACATTGTCCAGTTAATTTGCGGCAGAGCCGGTGTATGATACTAACTAGCTCTGCGACCCTGCGGCAGCCCCATTACCTCTCTGGAATCCTGGGAGCCCCTCGTTTAAGTGAGAAGTCTGGCCTCCAGGCTCTGCTGCTGCTCCTGTACTCTCTTTCTGGTTCTGTAGTCCCATATCAACACATTCTTGGAAGTGAGGGGGGTTCCCATGACCCTGTGGAGTCAACTGGGACTAGATTCATGTCCCTGTTTTCACTGCTACTTAGCTGTGTGATGTTAAGCTAGTTACTTGCCTTCTCTGGACCTCAGTGTTTTCAACTCTAAGATGGGGACAAAGGCAGGTTGGTATGAGGATTCTTGGCCAGGTTTTAAAGTGAGATAATATCAACTGAATTGCATTGATCGTTGGGACTGGTCTTTTCATTTACTGTGGGTTTGAAAGAAGTTGTAGCACATTTAAAGTGGACCCAGGCTGGCAGCTTTGGTGAGAAGTTCAAGCCTGGCTATTCCTTACTCTGCAGAGGAAATTTGTTTCTTAATACACAGGGCCAACAGCTAAAAAAAAAAAAAGTGGGGGAGGGGTGGAAGGGAATGTTTTCTCGATGAGGAAGGCATAGACCTCTACCAAGGAGCTGTTATGCTGTTATTGTCTGTGTCTGCAAGTTCTTATCCAAAGATTGGGAGGATGATTCACAGCTCTTCATCTAGATTTTCAAAGCTCCTCGCCCTTAAGGACAAAAGCAATGCAAGTGAGTCCCTGTTCCCATTGGGGCATGAGCTGTGGGGTGCTAGAGACAGGAACCCCAGGGCCTCCCCAGGCCGCCAGGCCCGAGTGTAATAAATCTGTGAAATAACAAGCACAAAGGACTTTATAATCAATGACAGATTTCATTTTTGCTCTGGCAAAATCCATCCGTGGAGTTAACATTTTACAGGGAAATAACTACCCACTTTGTGACTCCTCCTCAGCCCATATTCTCTTTCCTAAAGTTGGAAAAAACTCAGAGAATCAAAGTCGGCTCCTCTGAGAACTGTGGCAAGCGAAAGCATGACTTCCCCTGGGCGGGAACCCAACTCTCCCGTTACTTCCTAGGGTGGTGGGGGCCATTCATTTCTGTTTTGCTAAAATACCCGTGACATGTGAATAAACCAGGATTACAGAACATTGTCTCGGTCAGTAATCTGAGCCGGCATGGGCTCTGGTTTGATGAAATATGGTGCTCTCTGAGCAAACATGGGAATTGGTATTACTTCTCGTTAAAGCTGAACAGTGGGGCTATTTAGAACTGACGCATGAATGCAGCACTGTGGGGAGTGACAATCTGAAGGGAACCGATTTGGGGGAGGAGGGCAGTGGTGTGTGTGTGTGTGTGTGTGTGTGTGTGTGTGTGTGTGAGAGAGAGAGAGAGAGAGAGAGAGAGAGAGAGAGAGAGAGTTGGCCGGAGCCAGCCAGTTAAGAGGAGTCTATGGGAGAGGCAGCTAAGAGGACACTTGGAAAATTAGGGCCCCTTTGTGGCTGCACAGCCTTCTTATCACCCCCAAATAATCTTGCTCAAAACCTTTGACTGCTGTCCTTCACAGGACGGATGAAGCCTTCTGTCCTTGTCCTGGCATTCAAGCCCTAACCATCTGACGTCTCTGTCCTGCTGGAGTCTTTTCCAGCTTCTGTTCTTATGCATCCTCTTCTGCCCCAGGATTTAGGGCAGCTTCATTCCCTGAGTTCTCATCCCAGGCCCTTCCCCATGGCCTTCCGGTGACTGTAACTAATCCCCCTGTTGCCAGCACCCAG